TGTACACAGTATTCCAGACTTCCAGGGATGATAGTGCTGTTTCATTTAACCCTGGCTTCATAGGAATTGCCCGTGGGTCAGAGTAGCTTCTGTTAAGTTGTGTTTAACCAGAAGTTGTGGTTAAGACCCTTGTGCCAGTGAAGTTTCTACACTGTGTTGATGAGTATATGTATAGCTTAGAGAATGTTTTCAAGACTGCCCCATGTTCTGCCCTGATCATTCCTGGGTGGATATAGCCTAGTGTTTTTATAGTGCCTTTCTGACTCCTCTGTGATCTAAGAGGGCTCTTCTTCGCTGTCTCTGGTTCTCGGCGTTAAACTTCTGCCTGCTCTGCCATTCTGCTTGTATTGGAACTCCTAGCCTTTCTTGTTTTTCATTAAGATTCCCACTGTTTTCTTTCTTTTTTGTTGAGATGGAGTGTCGCTCTTGTCGCCCAGGCTGGAGTGCAATTGCGTGATCTCAGCTCACTGAAACCTTTGCCTCCGGGGTTCAATCGGTCCTCTTGTCTCATCCTCCTGAGGAGCTGGAACTACGGGTGCACACCGCCACGGTTAGCTAATTTTTTGTGTTTTTAGTAGAGATGGGGTTTCACCATGTTGGCCAGGCTGGTCTCAAGCTCCTGGCCTCAGGTGATCTACCCGTCTTGGCCTCCCCAAGTGCTGGGATTACAGGCATGAACTACCATAGCGGCCCACTGTTTTTGATAATGCCCTTAGGCATGGGCTTCTCCTCTCTGTTCCAAATAAAGTCAGTTCTCTCAGGTGGAAATGTAGAGCTCTTTGTCCTTATGGCCTGTCTTTCCCCCTGAGCAAAATCTCCATGCCACTGCACCTGGGGCTGAAGGTGAGAGCCTTTTTTTCCCCAGAGTAACACTCCATTCCTAGAGTGGTCACTGGGGTGGTGGTAGCAGCCCTTGGGAGCAAGTTGGGGCAGTGGCAGTCAGGGCCCAGTATTCTCAGCCTGCTGTACCTGGAATAGAACTTCCACCTTTTGAATGGGGGCTGTGTAGGGGAAGAGAGACTGGTCCTCTGTGTCACCTCTCCAGAACAGAGCTTCTGCACCTCTGGGCTGAAGGAGAGGAGAAGCACCAGCAGCCTGTGCCTCCCAGGGTAAAACTAGCCACAGCCCGGGAGCCTGAGGGAGGGGGAGCCCTCTGCCTGTCTTTTGGCTACATGTACCGCAGGAAGAGCCTTCATAACAGACCTGGTAGGATGTGAGAAATGGTGCAGTTTGTTACTCAAATGCCACAGACTCTAACTTGTTCTGAGATTTAGTAAATTTTCTTGAATGAATGTTTCTCCACTTTCTGTATGCCCTTAGTACAATTTCCGGAGACTTCAAATGTTTGTTTTTTAAAATAATTTTCAGCAGTTTTTAATTTTTAATTAATTAATTTTTGTGAGACAGGGTCCTGCTCTGTTGTCCAAGCTGGAGTGCAGTGGCATGATCTTAGCTCACTGCAGCCTCAAACTGCTAGGCAATCCTTCCATCTCAGCCTCTCAAGTGGCTGGGACTGCAAGCATGCATCAGCGTGCCTGAATAATTTTTATTTTATTTTTTTGTAGAGATGGAGTTTCACTATGTTGTCAGGCTTGCCTCAAACTCCTGGCCTCATGTGAACCTCCCTTCTCAGCCTCACAAAGCCCTGGGATTACAGGTGTGAGCCACCATGCCCAGCCTACTAGTTTTTAAAATGTAGTTTTGCCAGTTCCACTGAGCTCCTTGTTCTGTCATTCTGGAAGTTCTCGTTCGTTTTTAAGCTTTTAAGATCAGGTTTGGGATCTTCTTTATATGTAGAGGCCAGGAAGTTATTATTACCAAATATGATTTCCTCAAGATGCTATACTCATGCTAACAAAATAAATTATACTTTGTTGTAGTAAACTAAAATTTATGTCAGAAAACTTGAAACCAGTCTGGGAGGCAGCATTATTTTCCTTATATAGACCAGGATTTTGACTTTAAACTCATTTTCCACACAGCTTTTCAATTTGATGATCCAGACTGACTGTTCCCAGGCTCTGTAAATAAAGATTCTCTTTGTCACAGATAACATGAAGACAAGCTCTACCAGCATACCCATTGCCCTGGAAACTTTACAAAGTGCTTTACTGCTTTGTACTCGCTTTTTTTTTTCTTCCCAGTCTGCTTCTAATTACAAACAGGAAAATCAGACAGGATGTGGCCTTGTGACTGAACAAGTTCATTCATCTAACATCATTAAATACCTGCTTCATAATTGATAACTGGTGGATATTCTTTTTATTACCTATAAATGTGTCCTAGCCTAGAGCCATTCTTACTATGGTTGCGGTATTTTAAAGTTATTAATTTAAATTTGACTTAACTCTTTGAGCATAATTATGCAAAATAGTCATTTCTTTGTAGAGAAAACTTACTGTAGAAAATCGAAATGTTTAATCTTATAAAATGCATCTTTTGAAAGAAACCCAGAGCATCTGTGAAGCAAAGGAGAGGAGAAATAACTGTGCATGTGTGAAAGGAGGCAGTGGGGCTTGGTCACGTAGGGGAAGAACTGAGGTTCAGGAGGCCTTAGGTGTTTCTTTAATCTTCTCTGTACTGCTGGCTATGAATCTAGACTAAAAAATTGTATTATTCTCTGCTTTGTTTTTTTTCCTGACTTTAATTGGAAAATAATCACTTATCTCTCCTGCACATTGAATTGTGGAGGAAAAGAAATAGTGTAAATTGATAAGGAATTTTATAAGATTTGAAGTACTTTAGAATTGTTCAATACAATGGTATCTGTCTATAGTGCTGTCCTCTCTAAAACTGTGACAAATACAAGATGGGGCTGTCCTAAGTCCCACCCGAAGTTATTTATAACAGAAAGCTCTGAAAGGATGTTGCTGAAACACTTTCATTTGTGACCTGGCCTAAAGCGAAGTGTTAGGTAAGGTGTTTTATAGCAGAGCACAAATGTATATGTACACTGTATAAAGGGAACTTTCCTATTTTCTATTCTCTTTTCTAATAGAGAAAAGATAAAACTCATGAGGCAAATATTTTTCTTAACTGTTAGCTCCAATCTCATTCTTCCAAATTTTTCTGGTTATTTTCAGAAGAGAAACTAAATTTAGGTCACATTTGCTTTCTTTCTCTCTTTCTCACAGTTAAATGGCCAAATGAAATGAACATTAATTTGAAAAAGCAGTAGGAATTGTGAATAGTTTACTGGACAGTTTGATCTTAAACTTTAAATCGTTGTCTTTATTATGTGGTTAAAATAGATAAGGTAAATAGTGGGTCCTAAACCAGAAGGCTTTGATCCTAGGGTGTTCTATTTTTCATTTCTTAGAAGCCAGTCGAATTTAAAACATGAAGAAAAAAATGGGAAATAATCATAAAGCATTGCTTGAGTTTCCAAACATATATAAAAAATAACAAACCCCCTTCATTGAGGTCAGGCACTGTACTTGGTACTTTACTGCATTGTCTCATTCATTTGTACCAACAACCCAATGAGGAAGGAGTCTATCATTTTTCATTTTGTGAAGAGCCAACTGTGGCCTAGACAAGGTAATAGAAACTTATTCCAGGTTACTACAGCTTCTAAAAATAGGATGGACATTTTAAATGATGAAATTAAAAGGCAAATACTTTCTAAATTGCCCAGTAGTACATATTCTTTGTAAAAAAAAAAAAAAATCAATGATACAGGAAATCAAATTTTTAACAAATCATCAATAACTCTATATGTTTTTATATGTGTATAATTATACACACACACAGAGTGAGAGAGATAGAACTCTGAAAGATACTCAGTGAAATTATAGCATTGGCTAACCCTAGAGAAGAAAGGTGAGAAGGTACCAGGAATGGAAGTGGTGGTTAAAAAGTCTTTAGCTTTATTTTGAATGTTCTGATTTTTTGCAAGGAGAATATTTTTTATGTAGTAGTTGTATAAACTCAATAATTTAAAAACCCTTGAAGAATGAGGACAGGAAGCCAAATTCCAGATTGAGTTTAATTTTCTTTGACCAGCCTCTTTGTCTCCTTTCTAGAGACTTCTTCATTGCAATACCCAACCAAGAATGTTTAAAACTTTTTGAAGATAATGTGTATGTGAGTTAATTGGTATAGTTAAAATTATGAAATCATTGATAATGAAGTATAAGACAGTATATGACGGTGGCTAAGTGCATAGACCCTGAAACCAGGATGTTGGATTTGAATCTTGACTTCCTCATTGTATGACCTCTCTATGCCTTAGTTTCCTCATTTATAAATTTGGGGTACTGATAGTATCTGTCTCTAGGTTGTTGTGAGACCTAAATGCGTCATCATCTGTATAGTACTTAGAACAGTAGTTGGCACATAGTAAGTTATATAAAGTTTACTATTATTGCTATTTTATCCTGACACTTAGAAAAAATGGTGGTAGATTGTTATATATACATCCAGACTTTTTTCTATGTATGTGTGTAAACATTTACATATACTTAGAGAGATACACACACACACATTCACAGGAGTAAGTTTATTTTTATTAAAATTGGATTATACTGTTTCTGTTTTCTTATAATCTTTTACAGTCAACACCATATAAATATCTTTCCATGCCATTAAATGAAATGACTGTTTAAAATAAAAATTAGATGCATTTGATCTTAACTAGTGTGATAGCATGGGTCCTTTTGACCACATACATGAACATAAGATAAAACTGAAATTGCTTGGGGCTATACTGAAAACCTGACGTGCTTGCTGATGTTGATATAGCTTACTTAAATGATTGAATAGACATTGGCATATTCTACCTAAGGTGATTATTATTTGCCTAAGTTGTTAAGCAATGATGTCCAACATTTTAAATGTTTATCTTCAGAGCCAATATGCAAGATAGAAGGCTGTTTTTAAAGTGTCATGGGAGGAAAGACACTTGAATAACACTCTTTGTAAAGAAGTAAAATGATCTGTAAAAAGTGTACTTGTTATTAATAGAATTATTTCTTCCTCCACCTCTTTCTGGCTTTTCAGGAGATGTTTCACAAAGCAGAAGAATTCTTTTCTAAAACAACAAACAATGAAGTGGATGACATGGACACATCAGATACCCAGTGGGGCTGGTTTTACTTGGCAGAATGTGGGAAGTGGCACATGTTTCAGGTATCTTCTTTCCTTGAATTTAGCAGAAGTGTTTTCGATTCAGTTAGCATCACCTTGCTAATGTATGTAAAATGAGTATAAATATAGAACTTGAAGTTAAAACTTAAGGAAATAAAATCATTTAGCTAAAAAAAAGTTAGAAATTATTCTAGTCCTTTTCCTTTTCTTTTCCCCAAGTTTTCACACTCATTTATTTAGAAGAAACAATATGTGTTTACTGTGTGTACAGAGGACAAATGTGACTGAGAGTTGCATGGTGTCAGTACATCTGAGCAACTCCAAGTTTGGTTTGATGGACAAAGAAAGGGAAGAACAAATCCATATTAAACACTTCTGTACGCCAGGTATTAAGTTAGGTGTTGCACATTTATTTTCTCCCTTATCCTCACAGTAATTTGGAAGCAGATGTTAACATTCTCTCTTACAGTCAAGGAAAGTAAAACTCAGAAAAGTTGACATAATTTGTCAAGGGTCACACAGCTAGTGAAACTGAGATTTGAATCCGTACTCAAAACCTGTAGTCTTTTTTTTTACTCTACTAAACTATAAAAGAAGATTTAATTTGAGCCACTTAGAAAGTATGATTATTGGAATAATCTGTAAAAGTTGTGATTATCTGGAAAAATAACTGTATTTCTATATATATCTAGTTATTGAAGGGGACTATAACCAGTTGTTTCTTCACTGGAGATCCTTAAACCATTTTCAATATGCTGACTTAGTTGTGATTCTCCCTGTGTGTTGGGAACTAGAACAGGTGATTAGTAAGTTTCCCTTGTCCCTCCATTCCCTGTCTCTCTGACCGCAGTACCACCTCTGTGGCCAAGTCATTAATGTGAACCGCTGGTAAATGAACCTTTCTGGTTTGTCTTAAAGCCGGATACCAACAGTCAGTGTTCAGTTAGCAGTGAAGATATCGAAAAAAGCTTCAAAACAAACCCTTGTGGCTCCATTTCTTTTACTACTTCCAAATTCAGCTACAAGATAGACTTTGCAGGTATGTTTTTTTCCCTAATAGATGTGTGTTTTTAGTATATTGATATGGTAAAATCTAGAGCTCTGAAGGTCAGGATTAGTTGATATATTTGCAAACAGTGAAGTATATCTTTTTTGTTATATACAAAAATACCTCTATAAAAATTCAAGTTTTAAAATCTTGAGCAACGTTACCTTTTATAAAAAGTGTGTTTATATAGTTGTGTATATTAATGTATGTGAAGATTGTCATATATATTAAGTGCCTTTCATACTTCTAAGGAACACAAAACACTATATCAGTTGTTTTATTCATCATCCCATCGCTCTTTTGAAATAGGTAAGAACATTTTTACATTTTTTTTGAGACGTCTCGCTTTGTCACCCATGCTGGTGTGCAGTGGCGCGATCTCAGCTCATTGCAACCTCCGCCTCCCGGGTTCAAGCAAGTCTCTGCCTCAGCCTCCTGAGTAGCTGGGATTACAGACACCTGACCCCACATCCGGCTAACTTTTTTGTATTTTTAGTAGAGACAGTGTTTCATCATGTTGACCAGGCTGGTCTTGAACTCCTGACCTCCTGATCCACCCACCTCACCTCCCAAAGTGCTGGGATTACAGGCGTGAGCCACCTTGCTTGGCCAGAACTTTTTTACTTTAAGGATCAAACAGATGTCAAGTGAGAAAGTCATAGGTAGTTGGCAGTAGTTTCAAGAACAAGTTTTAGCTGAATGACCTTTCTCTTGATGTCTTTGTCAGAAAACGATTTCTTTAATGGACATTGCCTTCTGTCATTTTCGTATTTATTTGGCTCTTCCACAGATTAGCCAGATAATCTGGAAATCAGTCCCACTTTGGATTTCATCTGTGATATATGGGCATGTTTTGGGGTGTCCCATGAAAAACCTGATGAACTGAGCTCCTCAAGTTTCAAGCTGTTAGTTTCAGCTATTTATTGCTTAGAGGCAAACACGACCTGGATGGGAGGCTTTCTTAATAAAAGAACATTTTGTTTGCTACACAGCTTAGTCCTTTAGCTGCTCTCTGTCAATTCCTGTGAGTAGTGTCTTTATGACAGTGTTTGTAGTGTATTGTGGCTGGGTAGGGTGGGGAGACATTAGGAAATCCCCTGGGATGAGCCAAGGCCCAGAAACAGTGAAGGGGATTTGTCCAGTAAGTGATTGATGGAACCAAATATGTAATAATTGTTATCCCACCAAAGTTGTTTGTCTTGTTTTTTTTTTTTAATTATCAAGAGTTAAAAACCGTGAGATCCTTACTTGTGACAAGCCGTAATTTTTTAATGCCATTAGGCAAATAAGCAGGATTTAAGAGGCCCTGACATTTGTCCCTCTGCCGCAGTCGAGGCAGAAGGTGTCTGGTAGGCATTTTTAGTCATGCGTACAGGTATTTTTGAGGGAGAACTGAAACCGAATGACATGCACAGACAGCAGACCTCATGTAGAGCATGAAATGTATCAAAGCATTTGGTAGATAATTTAGCAAGCCACGTGTTTCTGAAGGAATATTTGTTAGTATACTACACTTTTTGGAAACTTGCTCTCAGAAAATAGAGTTTATTAAAAATATCATTATTAAGGAACAGGAGTTACATATACTAATAACTTGAGTTCCCCAACCCTCTATGTAATGATCCTGTTTCAAAGGCGTGGGTATTAGCATTTCACATGTACTCTTTGCAGATTTCAGCTCCAACCATTCGGCCCCTAGCCAACTCAGGTTTTCTCCATAAAAATGGTAAAAAGTAAACTCAAAATGAGATGGTCCAAGAAGGTGGCATCACAGGTCTTGCTCCACATGCTGAGATGATCTTGCTTTTTCCCTGAACAGTGGTAAATCCAGTATGTGTAGAGTAACACGGAAAGGACAGAACACACTTTATACTAGCCTTGGTCTGGGTGGGTAAACCTAATCATTTTGAAATGGAATGATGTCATTTAGATGAGGTAAACTGGCTAGAATCTTACATTAAGAATCACTACTTAACTTTGAGGAATGAAGAAATGGACCTGGTAAATATTGCCATGACTGAGGCATGGATGAAAGAAGAAAAGGATACCTTTAAGTAATTAGTCTCTTATCACTAGAATCTTTTTATGTAAGTTTGTACTGGGTCTAGCCAGGTTTTCTATTTTTTAGGTTTAGTTATATAATTAAGGAGAAATCAGGAAATGTAGAAATTTTTGAAATTCTGTGAGTTGTACAAGTTTTATAATCATTTCCAAAATTTTTAGAGAGATGGAAGTACATTTTTCTACTTAATAAACCAACCACATTTAATACTGTAATTTCTCTCTTTCTAGTACTCTTAGCTTTCCTAAGTTTAGAACTCTCCTAGTTTAGTGTCTGTTTAACCTAAATGTGATACAGAAGGGGAATAGACCGTGCGTACTGAGCAGTGGATGAAATTAGCATCTTTATGTATGAGCTTAGATCAAGCAATGAAGCTGTGCTTCCTTGAATAGCACCTTCACAACATGATCCATAGCGCTATGGTAAAGTACCCATAATATACTATGCTGGCCAGCTCCTCCCAAAGCTCCTTGATTCCTGATCATCACGTAGCGTGGCTATTAATCTTCATGACACTTTATACTACAGTGTGTTTTTTATGACTTATCTAATATCTTGTCTTTGTATACAGAAATGAAGCAAATGAATCTCACCACTGGAAAGCAGCGCTTAATAAAAAGAGCCCCCTTTTCTATCAGTGCTTTCAGGTATGGTAAAGAGAATAGGGGTGGAAAGAGTGGGTTTTTTTTTTTTCTTGCTATTGGACAGAAAAACAAATAGACTGAAAATATTTTGGTAGGCCATTTAATAATACTGATCTTTTAATCAAATTTTGGGCCGGGCGTGGTAGCTCATGCCTGCAATCCCAGCACTTTGGGAGGCCAAGGTGGGGGGATCATGAGGTCAGGAGATTGAGACCATCCTGGCTAACATGGGGAAATCCCGTGTCTACTAAAAATATGAAAACATTAGCCAGGCATGGTGGCAGGCACCTGTAGTCCCAGCTACTCGGGAGGCTGAGGCAGGAGAATGGTGTGAACCCGGGAGGCGGAGCTTGCAGTGAACCGAGATTGCACCACTGCACTCCAGCCTGGGCAGCAGAGCGAGACTCCATCTCAAAAAAAAAAAAAATTAATTAAAATAAATAAATAAATATCAAATCTCTCATTTGTTGACAAAATAGCAACATTATTATTTACTCTAAGTGCTTCCTTTCATGTTATCCTTTTCCTTTCTTCTTGTATATTTACATTTTTTAATTCTTTAGAACAGTTTACATGGTAGTTACAAAATGCCTTGTGGTCTCTGCTCTGAACTCATAAAATAACTCACTGAGGTAAGTTTAAATTGTTAACTTGGAAATACTCTCTCAGAGACATATAATTATTGGGGCTGTAAGAACCAGGTAATTGTTCACTTTGTTTCCACCTCCGTTGATCTCCGTTGGTCAACTCCTAGAAGTAATTTCAAATTTGTAGCGACTAAGGGAGACCTAAGGAAGGTGGTAGAACAGTGGACAACAGTATTGCTTTCTGTTCCCTGGAACTTGGTTACAAATTTTCTTTTTTGCTTGCTCTGGCCATAAGAAGTCTGAAAAAGGATGTATAAATGTCAGAAGACAATAAATATTTATTATTCATGTGAATGGACTTGAAGGAAAAAATCTTAAGGCATGTCTCCTATTTTCTAAAATGACTCTTCAAGCATGTATTGAAATTCTTTTTGTTCAAATAATTTAAAATGAAACTGAAAAAAAGGTAGCGTGTTAATTAAAAGAAATATTTTAAGTTTCTGTCAGTTTGTTTCTCGACTTTTGTTTTTATTTTAGCATTTATTTTGGTTTTATTTTAGCATCATGATTTAAAAGTTATTCCAAGTACTTATGTAATGAATGCTTTTGTACTTCTGTGGAATATAGAGAGTAGTATTTCCTTACTAGCTACGTCATATCCACATTTTTTAGTACAAATAATAAAAGAATTACTTATCTTCAGAAAGTATTTAATCTGGGAGAAAAATGAAAAATGAGACATAATAATGGAAGATGTTATTGTAATTGTACGTTGTATCTGCTGTGCTTTGGTGGAGGCAAGAAGCACTGTGATGGGACCAAACACTTTGTTGTTTTGTCACAGACGGTACAAAGTGTAGAACAAAGACAGGACAAGGAGAGAATTAAGCGGACTAGAGGACAATAAGCAAGATAATAATAAAAGGAGAGGACTATGTAGGTAAGATACAGTAGGGTGTTGAAGGTCAGTAGGTGCTGATATAGAAATATTTATGTACTGTGGGACTACATTGAGCATTTATTACATGCAAGGTAAGTAATACATGCTTCCTAATGGCAAGGAGTTATTTAAGGCTGTTGACTACATAAAAACTAAAAACATTCTTTTGGTCGTAGCTAAAAGATACTTTAGGCCAAGTATGTTTTAGGCATTTTTTTTTCTCACAAAAAATTGGGAAAATATTTTTATTCATTCTTGTAGTTGAAGGGGTATTCTCCATATTATATGAAGTACTTTTAGGACTCTCTAAATAGGAGATCAACATGGGCAAATAATTTGAACAGTTCATACAACCTCACTCATAATAAGAGAAAAACAAATTAATACCAGACTGATTTTTACTATGAAATTGACTAAAATTCAAAAGTTTGATCACACACCTTTTTGGAGTGGTTGCGGGAAAATAGGCAATTTCTGTATTTCTGGTGAGAATGTCAGTAGGTACGTTCAAAGACAGCATTTGGTTGGTATCTGTTAAAATTATTAAAAAATGCATTCTTTGACTCAGAAATTCTATTTCAAATATATTATTTTACAGATAGACAAGTGGACATGTAACATGGCAGATGAACAAATGTGTTCCTGCAGCATTTTTTTTTTTTTTTTTTTTTTTGAGATGGAGTCTCACTCTGTTGCCCAGGCTAGAGTGCAGTGGTGCCATCTCGGCTCACTGCAACCTCCGCCTCCCGGGTTCAAGTGATTCTCCTGTCTCAGCCTCCCGAGTAGCTGAGATTACAGCCACACACCACCATGCCCAGCTACTTTTTTGTATTTTAGTAGAGACGGGGTTTCACTGTGTTGCCCAGGCTAGTCTCAAACCCGTAAGCTCAGGCAATCCATCTGCCTTGGCCTCCCAAAATGTTGGGATTACAGGCGTGAGCCACTGCGCCTGGCCAGCATTCTTAATACAGTAGCTAAAAGTTGGAGACAAGCTAAATATTATTATGGTATGTCCATATGGTGGAATTCTGTGCATCTGTAAAATAGAATGCATTCATTCATTCATCTAGTACTTATCGAGTATGTACTATGTACCAGGCTCTGTTGTAAGCACTAGGAATAATGATACTCTCTATGTACTGTTACAGAAAGATCTCTAAGAATCTATGAAGTAAAAAACAAAAACACAGGTGCAATAAATGTATGCTTTATGCTACCATCTGTGTGAGCAAAAAGCTTGGCTTACATTAACCTAAAGAAGCTCTGGAAGAATACCCGAGACTAAAATAATAATTACCAGGAGATGGGGCAAAAAGTGAGACTTGGACGTAGCAGGGACTGTAGCGGGAGGAAAACTTCTCACAGTATATTTCTTTATACATACTAATTTTTAAACCACATATTTGATTTTTTTCATTAAAATAAGTTTGAAAAAAGTAAACTAAAGATCAGTTTGAAATTTATTAATTTCTTCAGTAACATCCAATCACTGGAGGCGATTGGTGTGTCATTTTCAGCCTTTTGCTGTTAAATCCCTCAACATCACTGTGTTTTTCTGTATTCACATCCGGTGGCTTGAGCATGTTTGATAGTTTTTAAGATTTGCTGACTGACTATGCTAATAATAATAACCCTTAAAGTTAGTGGGCTGTTGGAGAGAATAGTGGGCAATTAACAGAGAAAGGTTTAGATTTGAGTTAGATCTTGGAGAACATTGAATGAATGGTTGAAGAGTTTTGATTTTATTCAATAGGCAATATAAGCACGAGTTTCAGCCTTTAGTTTTCATCAGGAGCTTGATTTTATTTTTAATTTCTTTGCCTAAAATCTTCACATTTTAAAGAAATTTTGGAAATTTCAAAAAAAGACAACTAAGCAACCGGTTTTGAAATTTTTATGATATATAGGGTTGTATATTTTCCATCGAAAGTTCACTATTCAACATCTAAAAAGTAGCACACATAGACATTCAATAATTTTTGAATAAAGAAACCAAAGGCTGTATTTAATTGCATGTGTCACAATACCCTGAAAATGAAAATTAAGCTTTGAAGAAAAGGCTAAATTCTTGACAGTAATTATAATCAGCTTCTGATATTTTGTTTTGTCTTTTGCTGTTTTAAGTTACATCTGTGAAAACGAGGCCATCCCTATGCCACCACACTGGGAGAATGTGAATACTCAAGTACCATATCAGGTAAGAGCAGAATTGACTGAATATACCATGAAAGAAACTGGAAAGGACCGCAATAAATCTCTGCAAATTTATTTTTCCAGCTTATTCCTCTGCACAATCAAACACATGAATATAATGAAGTTGCTAATCTCTTTGGGAAAACGATGGATCGCAACCGAATTAAAAGAATTCAGAGAATTCAAAACCTAGATTTGTGGGAATTCTTTTGCAGGTGAGATGATTTCTAATCTGAACCTTCTCCTTACCGCTAAGTCTTTTATGGTTAAAACATAAATATTGAATTGTGTTAATTTTCAGTGGTGTAGACATGCTGCTTTTCTCTTGCCATATTTTGACCTGGTCTCAGGGCTCTTCTTCAGCATTCTCAGGGAGTGAAAGAGTTGGTCTGTAAACTTTGCTTGTGACATTGCAATGTGAGAAGCTCCTTCCTTTCAAGGTTTAGAACTATGCATCTTGGCGGAAATCAGCATGACAGAGGAGTGTCGGAGCTGTTTAGCTTTGTTGATAGGACTTCCTTGGCTCAGCTTTTTATTAGAAGTCTCTGCAAACACTGTTTTGTTTTTAACAGTCATACGATCTTGCCAGTAGTCTTTTGCCTGTTTTATTTTAAAGAACACTTTAAAACATACCTTCAAATTTCTTGCTTAGCTAAAGTTTACTTTGTAGATTTAAAATCTCAATTCCTTACTAGATTTAAGTTGGAAATGACCCATTGGGTGACTCAGTGTTCACTTAACCGAAAATAAAGTCTGTTACAGAAAACTTAAAGCTATTAAAGGTATTATCCAAATTAGCCTCTTCTGCTGTATTTTTTTATGACATGTAAAAAATTAAAGTAAGTGGTTCTCTGAAATATTTTCAGTTAACATTTGTGGATGAGATTTGATTTCTAATAATTTTAAGTATATAAGCTGACTTTTAACTTTTTATTCAGAGAAATTGCAAATAAACACAAAAGTAGAATCTAATATAATGAACTTCATGTATCATCCTGATTCAACATCTATCAAGATTTACCGCACATAAACTGTCTCCTTTTTTGTTATTATTGTTGTTGCTAAAGTATTTGAAAGCAAATCCCAGACCATAACTCATTTCATTTCTATATACCTGAGAATTAGGCTGATTTTGTTTGGTAATGATACATAGAATTCTTTCTTGGTTCTGACTGACTAGTTAATATGGCCTGCGTACATTTCCGGTTTTCTTCTCATAATAGTTTATGGTAAATAAGGGGCTTTCAGCTTGTGTTCTTTATTGTCTCGGGTCTATTGGCCAAACCAGCTTTTATTTCTGACAATAACTGAGGTTAACTGGGTTTATAAAGTTTAATTTAGTTCTTGTTTAGATGATTCTTTTATAGAGGAAGACAGAAGCCTCTGCCTCCTTTGACTTTGTTCTCTCAGTGAATAAAGTAAGTTTTTCTAAAATAGTCTGATGAAAATTTAATTCATTATTCTTCATCAGCCCTCTGAATTGGAGATCAAATTGGTCTCCTTCATAACTTGAGTCCCCAATTAAATCATAGTGGTAAAAATGTACCAGTAATTCCCCAGAACATTTTGTACTAAGAATTTCACTGGAAACAGTTTTACTCTGGTGATGCCTTTCATGGTTTTATGTAATGTCAGCCTGTAGAAATCTGTGATGGTAAGTGAACCTGCCACCTGCCACGACAGTACAAAATGCTGAGTCTCATTATAATGGCAGCCTGTCATTTTGACATCATCCTGAAGAACTAAAATAACTTGGTCTGTCTCACTGTCACGTAACCTATGACTCACCATGTAGGTAGTCAGGCCCACATGAGTCCATCCGGCAATAGTTTTCACATTGCCTAGGCCTCTCTTACTTCCCCCACTTCTTCTAACAACAATGTCTTAGTACCTACTTTATGACAAGCCCTGTTCTGGGCGCTTGGGATAAAACGGTACAGAGAACCATAGCTTGGAGAGCCAGACCATTGTAACACAGAAATGTGGGGGTCAGCTCAGGGCATCATGGCAGCACAAAGGGAGGGGATCCGTCCATCTTTGCCAACAAAAGTAGGGGATGTGGAGTGGAGTGGGGAGAATTAGGGAGCCCCAGACACCAGTTGATAGGAGAAGGGCATCTCGGGCATTGGGGCAGTAAGAGCCCAAGTCTGGATATAAGAGGGAGCACAGAAAATTGAAACAGCTTCAGATTGAACAGAAATTAGGTAGAATGGTATCAAGAGGCAGAGCCTGCAGGAGTTTGTAGTAGCACCGCTGGGGTGGTTGTGTGATCGTCTTTAGTAGCCTTAGTTGAGTTGGATCGAACCAGAATGGAAGTCAGAGAGTTAGCAGGGGCTAGACCATGTGGGGCCTTATAAGCTAAACTAAGAGGTTTGGATTTTTTCCTGGGACAGTAGAATGCCATTGTAGAACTTTAAGCAAGAGAGTGATGCATCTGATTTGCATTTTAGAAAAATAATTAGGCTGTGCAGTGGAGAAGGGGTTTAAAGCAGTGGTTCTCAACTGGGAGTGATTTTACCTGCTGGGGGACATTTGGTAATGACTGGCGTAATTTTTGATTGTTAATGTGGCAGGGTGGGGGTGCTACTGGCATCTGCTGGATAGAAGCCAGGATGCTAAACATCCTACAGTGCATGACACAACAAAGACGAAGCCTTCCACAACAAAGAAGTGTCAAACACAAAATCTCCGTAATTTAAAGGGATCACAGTTCGAAGCAGAGAGACCAATTTAGGAAATTGTTTCAGTAATTAGACTGAGACACGTTGGGTTGCCTGACCCAAAGTGGTATCTGCTCTGTTGGAGCAAAGAAGACAGTTTTGAGGTATTAAGGTTATAGAATGATAGGGCTTGGTGCCTCACTTACTGTTTGCGATGGGGTGAATAAGGGAGATGAGAAGGATAACTCCCAAGATTTTGGCTTGTTTGTGTTACTTGACTAAGGGAGTATCAGTAAGAACAACTTTAGGGATGATGGAAAGGGAGTAGTAGTCGATATACGGCAGTTGACATGTGGGTCAGGAGTTCAGAAGAGTGGTATAGACTAGAGACAGAGGTTTTGGAGTTGTTAGAAAATGTGGGGTAATAGAAGCTATAGGAATGAAGAAGATGACTAGGGAGCATATGTACATTAAGAGAAGAAGAGGGCCAAGGAATGGGGTAATAGAAGCTACAGGAATGAAGAAGATGACTGGGGAGCATATGTACGTTAAGTAAAGAAGAGGGCCAAGGATGTGGGGTAATAGAAGCTACAGGAATGAAGAAGATGACTGGGGAGCATGTGTACGTTAAGAAAAGAAGAGGACCAAGGATGTGGGGTAATAGAAGCTACAGGAATGAAGAAGATGACTGGGGAGCATATGTACATTAAGAAAAGAAGAGGGCCAAGGATGTGGGGTAATAGAAGCTACAGGAATGAAGAAGATGACTGGGGAGCATATGTACGTTAAGTAAAGAAGAGGGCCAAGGATGTGGGGTAAAAGAAGCTACGGGAATGAAGAAGATGACTGGGGAGCATATGTACATTAAGAAAAGAAGAGGGCCAAGGATGTGGGGTAATAGAAGCTACAGGAATGAAGAAGATGACTGGGGAGCATATGTACATTAAGAAAAGAAGAAGGCCAAGGATGTGGGGTAATAGAAGCTACAGGAATGAAGAAGATGACTGGGGAGCATATGTACGTTAAGTAAAGAAGAGGGCCAAGGATGTGGGGTAATAGAAGCTACAGGAATGAAGAAGATGACTAGGGAGCATATGTACGTTAAGTAAAGAAGAGGGCCAAGGATGTGGGGTAAAAGAAGCTACAGGAATGAAGAAGATGACTAGGGAGCATATGTACGTTAAGTAAAGAAGAGGGCCAAGGATGTGGGGTAATAGAAGCTACAGGAATGAAGAAGATGACTGGGGAGCATGTGTACGTTAAGAAAAGAAGAGGGCCAAGGGTCCAAGTCTGAAAGGGATGCACAGAGGAAGAGAGAACCCAGGGAGGGAACTGACAACCACAGAAAGTGGGAGAAACCAATAGACGATGTAGTCACAGAAGCTGGAGGGAGACTGTGGTTTACACAGGTAGGTGCCATCTGTGCGATTACATACTGAAAAGATGCTAAGTAGGATAAATCTGAAAAGTTCCTTTGCATTTTTCAATAAGGCGGCCATTGGTAACCTAGAGGAAAGCAATGTTGGTAGACATCCTAGTGTGTATACAGCAAATGTTGACAGCTTTTTCAAGAAGTTTGGCAGTGAGGAGGGTGAGAGATATGAGAAGACAGATAATGTGGGGTTATTGTTATGTTTTTGAAATTTAATCATGGGAGAGAACTGAACATTGTAATTGGAAAGGACCGACGGAGAAGGAAAATTTTAAAGACTCTTAGAGAAAGAGTGGAAGGGCAGTTGATGGATTCCAGCTCCTGAAGAAGTGTGATGAGATGAAATTCTGAGAACATATGTCAGAAAGGAGATAGAGAAGCGTGGTCCAGTTATGTTTACAGATAAGTCCAGGTAGGGGATGAAAAGAGGAGTTAGGTTAAGGAGTTCCTTCCTGATACCTTCCATTTCTTTTGTGAGGGAAGAAGGGAGGTCACCTACGGAGAATAAAGTGTTCGGGAGGTGTTGATAAGAGGAAAAGGAACGGGGAAAGAGGAGATTTGAAATGGCCACTGTGGATAATGGGGTAGAACGAGCTATCTTGGGAGCCATAGGATTTCTGTCAGCATTGAGGGCTTAGCTAAAGTATGTGAATTTATGGGGCAGCTCATGTTGTGTAATGTACTTCAGAGTACAAATGGAAGGGCAGGTAGTGGAGATGGTTGGGTTGATCTACAGCTGGGAAGCATAAGGCAGCAAGGACATAAGAGCATCTTATTAATAATGTGAATTTAGATCAGAGATTCTCAAACCTAGTTGCAGGTCAGAATCGCCAGTGGAATTTGCTAGCAAGTAGAGACTTCTGTCACCCGTCACAGATCTACTACATCAGAACCTCTGGGTTCTGACATTTTTACCTTAAAACAATTATATAAGTGGTTCTGATGTTCGGCAGGGTGAAGTGTGTTCTAAATCTAGGTAGACTTACTTTAATCCAGAGCATGGACATATTCTTGCTGCAGTGCAGAGCATGTGGCATACACACTTTAGCCAGTTTGGCACTCTAGTCCCTAAGAGGTGGATCATTTTGAGACACTTTGAGAAGTGGGTGTGACAGTACTTTCAGTAAGTTCAGGAATGATTGTGGATCTGGGCAAAGGTGGGCAGGGTTGTGAAGAACTTAGTGTAGTTCTGTGACTTTCCTTGCAGATGTAACTAAAGTTCATGAGGCCCTAGAATTTGACTTTAGCCCTTCTGGAACACCAAGGTCATAGTCTGAATGTCCACATTTCATGGCTGCCTTAGTAGTGGGAGTAGTGGGCACTAGAACAGACTGTGCCGTGGGGATACAAAGCTTTAACCACCACGCCCCTGCTCTGTGCCTTCAACGGGTGTATACGCACCATCTAATCTAGGAAGTAAGCATTGTTTTCCATGCCTGCCTATACCCCTACTCCATGCCCTTTAACCCACAGTTTATTTATAATATCTAAGAGAAACTCCAGCGAATTTTCAAACCGAGATTCACTCGAATTTGTACCTGAAAAGTAGTGATAAATGAATTTTTTTTTTTTTTTTTTTTGAGACAGAGTCTCTCTCTGTCCCCCAGGCTGGAGTCCAGTGGCACGATCTTGGCTCACTGCAAGCTCCGCCTCCCAGGTTCACGCCATTCTCCTGCCTCAGCCTCCGGAGTGGCTGGGACTACAGGTGCCCTCCATCACACCCGCCTAATTTTTTTGTATTTTTGGTAGAGACGGGGTTTCACCGTGTTAGCTAGGATGGTCTCTATCTCCTGACTTCGTGATCCACCTGCCTTGGCTTCTGAAAGTGCTGGGATTACAGGATGAGCCGCCGTGCCTGCCCTTTTTTTTGAGATGGAGTCTTGCTCTGTTCCCCTGGCTGCAGTGCAGTGGCGCAATCTTGGCTCATTACAACCTGCGCCTCCCGGATTCAAGTGATTCTCCTGCCTCAGCCTCCGAGTAGCTGGGATTACAGGTGTGTACCACCACACCCAGCTAATTTTTGTATTTTTTAGTAGAGACAGAATTTCCTTAGAGTGGATTCTAGTCATTACAGATCATGAAGCACAACACTGACAAGTTTGACATTACAGACCATGAAGCCTGGCATTGTGTATGATATTAATGTTTCTTTGAAAAACCCAGCATGGATTCACTAATGCCGGACTAATAGGATTACCACAGTGGTAGATGGATAGGCCCCTTAGATAGTCTAGCTTGGCTTCTCACTTTTTAGTTGTTGAGAAAGTTTTTTTTCATGAAGACAAGATGGAGAAATATGTGCTGGTTGGTATTTCAAAGAGGAACACTAGTAGCCAAAAAGTCTCATGCAGAAGAGTAACTCGAATGGCATGCATGCTTTCTTCTTGGGTCCTTCAAAATTTTTATCAGAAACTTGGATGAAAATGCAGAGGGCTTGCTTATCACACTTGTGAAAGATTCAAAACTAGAAGGGGTAGCTTATTTGTTGAGTGAGTGAATCAGCAGTCAGAAAGACCTTGGAAGGTTGAAACAGTGGGTAAAAACAAGTATCTTTTTTTTTATTATTAAAATTTTTTTTCCTTTGTTTTTATAAAGGGAACAAATGCACATTGTTTAAAAAAAGTGAGAACATAAAGTTCTAAAAAAGGAAGTTGGTATAATTCTTAGTGAAAGCAGGCTGACTTTTTGTAAAGTAAACATTTGCTAAATGCACAACCTTCTAAGGTCATGCTTAATGGTCTGAAAAGACTATCACAAATAGATCAAAGCATGTACATTTAAATTTTGATACATACTGCCAAATGACTCTTGAGAAAGACCATATGCATTTTCATTTCTGTCTCCATTTAAATGCAAGTATCCATTCCCGAACATACTCATCAAGCTCCATATCATTTATAGAACTCAGTCTGTGATACGGATATTTTACTGTTACTTAATTTTTACTTTTTAAATTACTGTGTCAAGTAAAACTTAACTGAAATAAATCTATTACATTCAGTTTATAAATCAGTTGTACAAATTTAGCAAGCTAAGAGAGGTCTGGTTTGAAAAAGTCTGGGAGTTTGAACTGACTACACAGTCAATCATGGTGATTATGGTGCAGTTCACTGCCCTGGTACCAAAATGCATTCAGTGGTGTTGGTGCAGTCAGTGCTGTCTGATGATATCTGGACTGTTTCTATTTCATACCAACATTTATAAACTAGAAAGTATGCAGCAGATTCTTGTTAACTAAAGACTGTTGGGATAAAGAAAGACCTAGAAGCTATGCTGTGTCAGGAGTAGTTGAAGGAATGGTATATATTTAACCAAGAAAAGAAAGCCTAAGTAGGTGTTCATAGTTATTTTTGGATATTTGCAATGTTGTTTTGTGTAAGAGTGATTTGAATTGTTAGTGTTCATAAGAGAATAATAAAGACCAATCAGTAGAAGTAACGGAAGGCAGATGTTGGTGTGGCGTTGGGATGGATGTACTTTCCAACTATTACAGCTGATCACAAATAGACGGTGCTGTTTTGCAAAGTGAGCAGTTGATGGATTGAAGCAGGCATGAAATAGCTATCAGAAGTCGGGGGAGGGGATTCTTTTTCATTTTTAAAATATGATTTTTAGTTTCAAGAATGAAAATGCAGCGAATAGTTTACAGACTCCCATGTATCTACCTATCAGATTTAACATTTTGATACTTGTCACATTTCCTTCCTCTTCACACAGATACAGGTGAAGTGTTTACTCCATCCCTGTCCTACTCTCCTTCTTTCCTCCTGAGATTGGTATGGTGCCTTATTGTTTGTATTTTGTATTTTTTACTACCTGTGTATGTATACCTACATAATACACGGTATTATTTTGACTTCTCTATCTCTTTTTGCAAGATTCTTTTTACATTAAATATTATTTTTCAAGATTTACTATGTTAATGCACATAAATCTACTTCATTACTTTTGACTTTTATATATAAATACATGACTATATATTCATTTCTCTGTGAAATAATTTTAGGCTGTTTTCAGTTTTTGTTTTCTGTTATAATCAGTCCTACATTAAATATGCTTTTATGTATTCGGATAGATTTATCCTTGGGAAGAGGATTAAACTGGATGGCTTAATGTCCCTCCCAACCCTATGGTGCAAAATTTAGTCAACTGAACCAACATTTTCTAGTTTCTGAGGATAAAAAGCATATGACATGGTCCCTGCTCAAGGAATTCACTGTCTAAAGCCTCTGCGAATGTTGTAGTACTTGTTTGTTGTCTCAGTTTTAGGCATCTATAAAGCTTTAGCTGGTTTAGACAATCAATTACCTTTACGAAGTTGGGGCATATCATGGGATAACTATAGTTTTTGGCATAATTTTCAACCATAAGTTTCAGTGTTAACTAATACTTTTTGATGAGACGATTTATGTGTCCAAGAACGTTTGAAATTATTTCTTTTCTAGACTTGCTTTGTCCACTTAGTATTTATATTATTTTCTGTTTTACCCTTTCTGTTGAACCTTGCTCATTAAGATGAACAAATGCTACTTATGGTATATTTCTGTGTGCTTTTGTGTCTGTGTATATTGTGTTTTTAGGAAAAAGGCTCAGCTCAAGAAAAAAAGAGGTGTGCCTCAGATTAATGAACAAATGCTATTTCATGGTACCAGCAGTGAATTTGTAGAAGCAATCTGCATTCATAACTTTGATTGGAGAATAAATGGTATACATGGTGCTGTCTTTGGAAAAGGTAATTATCAGAACTCCAGGTCCAGTTTGAGTCCTAGGAGTTTCCTCTTTTTAGAGGAATATAAATACAAATATAAATTGCTTTATGGCAAATATATAGAGAATGAGAAAACAAATGGATTATAATTGCATTGTGTACCAGAATAGGTACTAGTGTTTTTGTTTTGTTTGGTTTTTAAGAAAATGATAGGTAAGAATATTAGTGAGCAATAAGGAATAGTGGAGGAAAACGTCACATTATTTATAATGTTGTGAAAATCCAGGTTTTTCAATTTATGTCTGGTACTCAAGCAAATTAAGGAGAGAGGTGAGGGAAAAGGAACGGGATGTACATTTCATTTTCTGGTCCTTACTTTGTACCTTACCTCCAGCAAGAGAACTGACTACTATTTAGGATCAGGATATGCTACATTTTGAAAATGTAAATTAATTTTAAAAATAACTACTAAAAAGGCCATTCCACTTATTTAACTGTAAGGAGGTCAAGGTGTTACATAAATCCCATCAGTGTTAGGTAAATATGAGACTTTGCAATTCATTTCCCCATTTTTTTAGAGTAAGAATGCCCTTAATGATGTCTATCTCTTGTGATGCCAACCATTCCAGAAGAGTTGGCTGCTTTGTTGAGTTTTCATGTGCAGGCAGTGAGCCAGTAAAATCATTTTTGTTTTGGAATGCTCAGATATGAATGGCATTATACTCTCTCAGAAATCTTTTCATGGATATGGGATTCTATTGTTTCCAGAAATATTATTGAATTGTTATCCCGCATCATAGAAATATGGTTTCTTGGGGTTTAAAAGAATCCCTGTAGGCCATCGGTTTCCACTGTGCTCTCCAGAGCTTTGCTGGATGCTGACAAGGGAGCAGGGTGAGGAAGTGGTGGAAGGAAACAGAAACAGGAGGGAGGGCCAAGCAGTAAAACTCAGGGCCGGGCATGGTGGCTCACGCTTGTAATCCCAGCACTTGGGGAGGCCGAGGCAGGTGGATCACCTGAGGTCGAGAGTTCAAGATTAGCCTGGCCAACATGGTGAAACCCTGTCTCTACTAAAAAAACATAAAAATTAGTTGGGCGTGGTGGCATGCACCTGTAATCCCAGCTACTCAGGAGGCTGAGGGAGGAGAATCGCTTGAACCTGGGAGGTGGAGGTTGCAGTGAGCCAAGATCACACCACTGCTCTCCAGCTTGGGAGAGAGAGCAAGACTCCATCTCAAAAAAACAGAACAAAACAAAACTCAGGTCCAGCCACACTTTTAATCATTGAACCAGTTTTATCAGTTTTATTAATTGGTTTCTTTGTAAGATTTATTTTAAAAGAATTCTGGTAGCTATATTTTGGTGGGGGCAGGGGATGGTGTTGGTGGTGAGGGCTGGTATATACCAGCAAATCTATTCCTATGGTAGTCTATACCACAGCTGTCCATAACAGATGGATTTCTCTTCTTCTCTTAAAGATCTGTGAATGAGGAAATTCCACATCTACTTTTATTATACAATTCTATGCATCTATTCTCCTGACAAAATGTTTTTGCTTGTTTTTAATATATTCTTCGGAGTAATCTTGGCTTTTCTTGGTCCTCTTTGTTTAAGGAACCTATTTTGCTAGAGATGCTGCTTATTCCAGTCGTTTCTGCAAAGATGACATAAAGCATGGAAACACATTCCAAATTCATGGTGTCAGCTTGCAACAGCGGCATCTGTTTAGAACATATAAATCTATGTTTCTTGCTCGAGTGCTAATTGGAGATTACATAAACGGAGACTCCAAATACATGCGACCTCCTTCCAAAGACGGGAGCTATGTGAATTTATATGACAGCTGTGTGGATGATACCTGGAACCCAAAGATCTTTGTGGTTTTTGATGCCAACCAAATCTATCCTGAGTACTTGATAGACTTTCATTGATTTCACTTCCAAATCTCAGTGGTCAAGGAAGCTTTATTCTTTTTTGCAGGAAGATTTGCTCTTCAGTCATCTAGCCACTAAATGTTAATTATCTGATACTTTTGAAACAGATATGAAAAACAAGTGGCCTCCATATAAAAAGACATACTGACTTTAAGGTTGGTTTTTGTTGTTTTGTTTTTGCTTGTTTCTTGTAGTCTTGTTTGTTAAAAATTGATATCATTGATGTTTTAATACGTAGGGGTGAAAGATACCATTCAAAATGGAATCAGCTGAGTCTCAACTAATGTGGTCATTGAGATCTTTAAGGTTTACATGTGTGTTATCAGGATAAATGATTTTAGTTCAAATGGACTTATTCGTATAAATGTTGAAAAAAATATATAGACATAAATGTGTCCCTTTAGAGGAATTGATCCTTTGTAAATTGAATTCAGGTAGTAGTATCATCCACCAATCCATTTGTTACTTTGTTGGTCTTCTGAAGGGGGAATTTGAAACTCTGAAACAATCTGAGCACCTTGAGAGAAATCAGAAGCAAGGCAATTATTTGCAGTGCTGTCATTACAAGTCAGAAGCAGAAAATCAAGGTAGAGTGTCCTGCTTTCCAGTTGCCTTAGGATAGCAGACTGCAGCCTCAGACTTGCTCCTGTCATTCTCCTCTATCTCCTACATCTGAATTGATCATTGCTGCAAAATATCATTAGCCTACACTTCATCCATCAGGGTTCTTGGATTCTTAGACCACGACTTGCTGTGCAAGGTGTTTATTGCATCTTCAAAGTGAAACTTTAAATTATTATTCAAACATTTATTTTCCTTTTGTTTTCAAAAGAATCCCTACAGTGATCACTTCTAAGATTTTATTTTACCTTCCCCTCTGCAGCACACACAGCTATTCAACAATGATTTCTAAAATTAATATTTCAAATTTATATCTCTCCATTTTGAAACATTATAGAAAGCATGGGATGCTTGAGGCAAATCTGGTTTCTCCTTTGAAGTAGCTATTGACAGCCTACTCTCTTGAAAAGTTAGATATAATTCTTAATCATGTTTAGTGGAAATTTGTTTACCTGTTCCATCTGTTTTGCTGTTCCATTGTAAGGAAGATGAGAAGTGTTGGGACAGCTTCCTTCCCCTAAAGATATTCTAGCAGAGGCGAGACAGCAGTTTGGCAGGCATGTTGTATAGGAGTTAAGTACCAGATGGGGAATTGTCCATGTGATGGTTAAGAGCCTCTCACATTGATTTTCTTTCTTTTCTCCTCTTCTCTCCTCTTCCTCTCCTCTCCCTCTCCTCTTCCTCTCCTCTTCCTCTTCTTTTCCTCTTCTCTTCTCCTTTTCTCCTTTTCTCTTCTTTTCCCCTTCTCTTCCCCTTCTCTTCCTCTCTCCTCTCCTCTGTTTCCCTCCCTCCTTCCCTTCCTTCCCTCCCTCCCTCCTTCCCCTTCTCTTCCTCTTCTCTTCCTCTTCCCTTCCTCTTCTCTTTCTCTTCTCTTCTCCTTTTCTCTTCTCCTTTTCTCTTCTTTTCCCCTTGTCTTCCCCTTCTCTTCCTCTCTCCTCTCCTCTGTTTCCCTCCCTCCTTCCCTTCCTTCCCTCCCTCCCTCCCTCCTTCCTTTTTCTTTTTTTGGTAGAGTCTTGCTCTGTTGCCCAGGCTGCAGTGCAGTGGTGCAATCTCAGCTCACTGCAACCCCCACCTCCCGAGTTCAAGCAATTCTCCTGCCTCAGCTTCCCCAGTTACTGGTACTACAGGTGCATACCACCATGCCCAGCTAATTTTTGTATTTTTAGTAGAGACGGGGTTTTGTCATATTGGCCAGGCTGATCTCGAACTCCTGACCTCAGGTGATCCGCCTGCCTCAGCCTCCCAAAGTGCTGAGATTACAGGCATGAGCCACTGTGCCCGGCCTGATTCTCTATGATTCTACCTTTAAAAGACAGCACATGTACCAAGCCTTTTTCAGAAAGCTTTTCGCTTAACTCTTTCTAATACTGAATTTTCTCTCTATTATCCTTACCCATTTCTGGCTGACAATTAGTGAACACAATTTAACTTCTTAAAAAAATACCGGTGTCTATGCTTATATTGCTCACTTAAATCATTTGAATTACAAAGGCATCTACAAATAATAAAAGTAAAGAGTGTAGACAGATTAGGGATCGTAATTCTTCAAGTGCCATCCATCCCAGATTTCCATTATAGCCCAGCATGTGTGTAATTGTGCAGTGGGAGGTAAGTAGTACCCAGGACATTGCATGTACAATACTTTGAAACAAAGTGGCAACAGAGATTTCCTGACTCAGGTATGTAACCCAACTGCTGGTTTAGATGAAGTGCTGAGAATATTTAGAAAAAGCACTTTAAAAAGCATCCAGAGATTATCATGAAAATAATTGGAGGCAAAGTCACTAGGCTGGCTTGTGAGAGGCAGCACACCATGGCTGTAAACCCGTTCACAAAAAACTATGTTAGAGACATTAGGAATTCAGGTTTTGAAAATCTTTTTTTTCTATTTATTTGTTATTTACATACCAAAAAACCACATTAAAATAGTCCTCCCTTCAACATGGCTATCTTTTTTCAAGTTTTGTATGCATACCTCTCTCAGCACTTAAATGGAATAACTGTTGCAGCATTTGGGGGTTGTTTTTCTTTTAGACATTTGCAGATCTTATCTCCGGGTGACTGGGGGCCCAGAGTTAAGTATTTGTTAGGCAATCTCTGCGAACTTTGACCTTACCTAGTTGGCTTATATGAAATATGTAGAATGCGCTGCAGCAGCCATTGTAAGAAAGTACTGTACTGGTTTTTTGGGGCTTGTTGTTGTTGTTTGGTCTGAGAATGTACTGCCAACCCATCTTTTATAAGAGAGAACTGATTTTGATACATATTTTAAAATATGATAGTATAGAGTTAATGGATGTTAAAATTTTATTTCTTTGTTTTGGTAAGTAGATTAAATTGAGAATCATATGATCAGTACATTTGAGAATTATATGACCAGTATATAATAATACTGGACATAACCATTTGCCATCTTTTCCTGTTATCATCACATAGAGTGGGTGGGAAGAATGAATAGAAATCACTCTAAAATAATGATAAATGGTTTTTAAAACTCTATATTGAATACATTCCAGCTGAAAATGACTCTTCTTTTTCACTTTGGTGATATCAGCCTCAGGGTAAAAAAAAAAAATGTGTTTATAAAAAACAGTTTCATAAATCTTTTAGTTATAAACAGGAAAGTTTTATATTAGTGTGTCATTTCATTTCTAGACTGTTGATGGTGATGATGATAAAGAATTTGGAGCCAATTTTGATATATGAATGTATTGCTTTTACATGTGATGATTAAAGCTCTCCATTAGCAGTTCTTGGTTGTCTGTGTATATCATGTATTTGTTTCTGTGATTTATGTATCTCATCTCCACCTTGTATTATTTAAACCTAAGTTTTCACCTCAATCTTAGTGGATCCAAGGAGTTTGTTGCCTGTAACTCATATGTACCCCACTTGCAGATGGGGAAAGTCTCTTGTTCTTAGTTTGAATCATCATGAGCAATAGCTAATCAAATGGGAATCATTAGAAATAGCTGATCTATGGGAAAAATTGTTTACTGTGTGCTATTATTGAAAAAAAAAATTCCCCGAACAGGCCAAGAGTTGGCATCTGCAGCGTTTTTTATTCTTGGTGTGCTCCGCTGGCCCAGAGGAGCAGCTCTGTAGGGTGTGTCTACTTTCACCCAAGGAGTATCCTTCCTACAGTCCATCTAACCTCCAGCCACTCGCACTGTGTCTGCAATCATTCCTGTTGAAGTGAGTTAAACATTCTGTTGAACCTTTGGCAAGCAAGGATGGCATCAAAGGCTATCCTCATGTTCGAACTGAGAGAAACGAGGGGCAGAATGATGGACTCATTGTGATAAAAATTCAATTGAGCTTTGATTGTTGATCTAGAAGTGCTACATCCTTACAAATTCTGTTCTGTAGCCATTCGAGTATTTGTGATTATCTCCCAAATTGCTAGGAATAACATGAGAAACAATCTTACGGTGATCCTACTTGTGTAGCCTCCAGATTTTCCACTCTGCTTAAGGATTATTTGTTTATTTTCAAATATTTTCTTTTGCTTAAAACAAAGAGACAGTCAATTTCTAGATGAATTTATATACTCTGTACTTGTAAAAGAGATAAAAGGTAATGAAAAGTAGCAAGGAAAGAGAAAACAAAACCCTCGTCAAGAATTAGTTTTGGTTAGAAACTTAAAGTGATTTTAGTTATTTTTATCCCTTTGCACTCTGCAGGAAGAGTTTTGGTGATACGAGATAGTCTGCCACACTTTCTTATGAATCATTTCATGATGTTACTTGGGGCAACACAGATGGAAGAAATGAACATTTCAAAGAACTATGAAATACATAATTATTTGCAGGCTGCTTGATTAGTGTGAGTAATATATGCAGGGAGAGGTGAGCCCTAAATATCCAAGAGAGAAGTTGAAAGTTGATCTTTTATCTTTCACTTTTTAGCAGTGGTAGTTTACTTCTCATGTTTTCAGAAACTCTAGGATGGAAGGTGGTTTGGGAACTCATGTTTCTTTCCTCCTGTCTCCTTCCTATATTGAGCTCTGCTTGATCCATCCCAGGTAAAAGGATATCTCAGTTATTTCTAAACCCAAACAATAAATTCCTCGTAAATGATCTGAGTCTCCTGCTGTAAAATTATGTAATCCATTTTCTCAGCGTTAATTGCTTGGCTTTCGTTTCTCAGCACTACAGGCCAAGAAGCTGGCTATTAGAATTCTCTCACTGTGTGGCTGTGTATCTAAGAATTTAGCACTGTCTTACTTATTTTTAGGTGACTTTTCATAAGATTGGAATATAGGTTTTATGCCAAAGACATTTGTGTTTTCTGCAGCGTCTTAGCATTGCTGGAGCCTCTACCAAGAGGTTATACGGTAAGCTGATTCTGACTCTGTGGCTTATGCTGACTTCATGATTGTAAACCAGCTTAAGGAGAGTCACCATCCAGAATTTAATTAAATCATCTTTGCAATATTGATTATACATCCAGACTGCACTTGTGTTTTCCTGTTCCTTTTTAAAAATACCTTTTCCTGAAGGGCTCATTACGCTT